CCGGGATATCTTGGCTTCGATATCGCTCCATTTTCGGATTCGGCCTGATGTACGACCTACCTCTTTCCTCCGAGCTCATTTCACACTCCTTGGGCATATTCCCGCGAATATCCTCGCGTGTCGGGGAAATATAAAGCGGAATAAAATACGAACTTGGCCCGACGTCCGCGATTCGGTATTGGAAGGGTGTTGCCAACTTCGGTTCTGTTTACTCTGATCGGATTAAAATAATAGGACAATCCTGCACAATGAACAAAATAATGGTACAAATGAAAAACATCACTCAAATATTTCAATCGAAATTTTGCCCGTATTCAAAAAGAAAAGGGAATGCGATTCGATACATTGAGTCTTAATAGTATGTAACCGAAAATTAATACCGATGAGTTTAATTTAATTCCCTGTTTCTGCAATGAATGTCTTTACGAACAAAAATCAGGAATAGAATCGTCAGCGTTTCACTTTCTAAAAATGCATAGTATATCTTTCACTAAAATAATAGGATAAATATTATAATCATAGCCGGTTGGCAACCCTAACTTGGAATTTCACCCCGTTCTCGCTTCGACCCTTTCCGAGCGAAAGTGTCGAAGTTCGTGAGGCAAGTTCCACGTGGCATTGCTGCTTTTTTATGAGTCCGTCGAATTCGAGAGTTTTCCACACGCGAGCAAGTTTATCGCGGCTTCTCGCCCCCTCGAGGTTCGCGAATAAAATGCCGATTAGCTCCGAGGTGGCGACACTCACCCTGGGACAAAGACTCGCCGGGAATCTCGTAATCCCAGTTCCGTTGCGGGAGGAATCTCTTATTAAATGTGGGTACTTCGCCGAGGGAAGTGCTCGTGATTTCCCCGAGGTTGCGCGAAATTCGAGCCCGAAGAGGGCTGCGCGTTGGGGTCGTATAAAGCGAACGACGCCGCGTCGATTTCGACGCGAGATGGCTTCGAATCGAGAACTATGGTCGAGATAAAAAAGGAATTCAATGAGAAAAAAAATATACACGAGATGTATCTCCCCTTCGTTCGGCGCGAAATCATCCCCGAAAATGTCGCGGAACGAGGAGGACGGTCATGGAGGTTGCACCGAGAGGACGTAGTATATTTCCGTTTAAGTTCCGGTGATCTTTTATTTATGAAATGTGTATTTATCGAGGAGATCAGCGCATTAGTTTCACCAGCTGGACCGGGGAGATGTTTCTCTTTTCTCGCCTTAGAGTTGGCCGCGAACGGGGGAGCTTTATCCAATCCCGGAAGGGTGGAGGTGGATAATTCTGTTTCGGTCGCTCGGTCTCGGAAATATACGGAATAACGGGGGGATCCTTCCTTACGTGCCATTGTTCCTCTCGCCCCTTCGTCGTTTCCAATTTTCGGGACTGTCCCCCCCGAGGAGCGAGCTCGGGGCGTGGGAGTCAAAATGGGATGGCATTACCGGAGAAGAAAAATGAGAAAAAAATTATTCCGGCCAGAGGAGGAGTGCTTTCGGGGTAATAAATAGAGAATGGAGTACCGTCGGGGTATTATACGGTTATTTGAATGCGGAAAGCCGGCGTTATCATCGCCGAATGTTTTACGTTTATCTCTGGGAGATTTGTGGAGCGGCGGCGGAGGTCCCCGAAAATTGGTAGCTATAAAAGTCTGCATATCAAACAACGGGGTATATCGAGTGATATGATACGTTCTCTCACCTTTGCGTGTCATCGTGGAGGACCGACCCGTACGAAATCATCCACTCCTGCCTCGAGGGCTTTGATAAAGCTCCCCCGAGATGCGACCGACTCGAGGCGAGAAAGCGGGACGTTTCTCACCCTCGGTCGGCGGATTCCGGCTTGCGTTTTTCAACCGACCATAGTAATGGATTTCTGCCTCGGGTTGCCTCAGGTTATCCGAGGTTGCCCCTGGTTGCCTCTGGGATCACACGTACCTCCTATCAGTGGCCGCCTTGCCCGGAAAATATTCATGGGACTCGACTCGCCAGGGTCCGATAAGGCAAACTCGATTTTATCAGACCAGGACTGGGAGCCGTTGCACTTTCAAAGGTATCCTCGATATACATTTCGTTCCCTACGGTAAATCGAGATTCTTCGTCTCTTACGAGCTAACGACGATATTATTTTTACCGTACTGCAGGCGAAACTCACCTTATATGCAGGTGAAATGGTGCATTCATTGAGGAAATGGAAAAAGGGAAGAAACTCCCACAACGTGACTACACATCCTTTCATCGCGAATGCGGTGGTTTGTTTCACGGCGGCTTGCAAAAATATCTACAGAGGGTGGGGGGGAAAAAATGAAAATACCCGCGAGCTCGGCTGGAAATTCGGCACTCGTAAATCCTGCGGAGTAAACGCTATCTCTTCGGGGAGAGCTCCGCTCCTGTGATATTACCAGTCACCGGGGCAACAATGGGCAAGTTCTGGCCCGGCATCGCAAAACGGCAAGCTAAATTGGAAATTCGCGGTAACGCGGGCAACAGCTGCAGGGCGAAACGCTATTCAGCGGGGCAGAACCGCCAACGGGATGGGGCGAAGCCCCCCCGCGAACTTTCAATGCCGTTTCTCGTAATGGCGAAGGCAGGGGGCTCTTTTTCCCGCCGAGTTGCCGGAAGAAAGCTCGCCCGTCCTTATCCTGATAAGGACGCTCGGTGCGCCCCGAAGAGCACCCTTCCTCGCCCCGAAATGCACCGATCCAATTCGAAGCCCGCAATAAAGTCCAAAATAAATGCTCTCTAATTAACTGGGTAAAGCCGCCTTTATCGAGAAGCTATTGCAGCTCGTTACTCACATTACGAGCGCGATTATCCGGACTTTGTCAAGTGTCGGAGTTTCGAAGGCGCACTAAAATCCGTACACTCTTAGAACGCAAGGTTGTACTAAAATTAAAAATTTCGACATTTGGTATGACTGCAAGAAACAATTATTTTTTCAGAAAAAAAAAATTATATCGTTGAGTTAAACGTATTTTGTGTACTCAATCTGATTTTCATTTGGACGTATTTGATCGCAGGATTTTCTTGTCGCGTATTTCTTTGAGTCAGACAACTATTTTTTTAATCAGAGTAGTTACTTAGATTTAAGGGACTTAATTTGGGATTCTAGGGGGAAGTAAATCCGCCTCGTCGATTAAGGCACCGCGGTACTTTCTTTCAATGTCTTCTCGGAGAGTCCTGGTATTCCGGTCGCACATACGCGTAATTAGAGCACCGGGTAAGAAATTCGGTAAATAGGGATTAACCTTCCCTTCGCTCGACGTGATTAATTAATTTGATGAGCCATGACGAGGTTCTTCGAGTGCAGTTGCACTTCCCGGAAGTCGACCGAGTTTTTCGCCTTCCTCCCGCAAAGTCGACGCATTCTGGTCGCGTGCGTATCTAATTAGCAATCACGCATTCGTGGCCGGAATGGTGATCGGCCCGGAGTAGTCAGGGAGCATAAATGGATGTACTACCTCTGTTTTATTCCCAGCCGAGGAGGTTCACCATTATTAATCCGCTCGCCTCCCTGCATCTTTATTCTTTTATACCTTCATTTCCACAGAGTGGCGGGAAAAGATTTACAGGAATTTCTGGGGTATGTTAAATTCGACAATTAATTAATCTTAGGCGCAGGAGTTTTATTCCATTCCGTGCGGAATCCACCTACTTTGCGTTTATTCGCCGGTGGCGTTTCATTTAAGAATTTAAACGCCAGTGCGAGACGCTCCTCCGGAATTTTTCTGCTTTGTTTTCATTAACCACGCCGCATGTCGAGTACACCCCTAGCCGCATGACGCGAGTACTTGACGCGAAAACCTGAAGAGTTAATAACTTTCCATATGGCCGGACGGAGTTTACGGCTTACCGCGGGAGGAAAGCTCGCCATATTCGCGGATCTCGTAACAGACTTTGGTTAGAGCCGTTATCACAACACCGGGGATCCGTATCAAACGCAAACGAAATATTCCCGGGGTCACTAGAAAGGCACTAAAAAGCCTCTCAAAGGGGTTGTCCCTGAAAATAGTTTGACAGCGTTTTTAGTCGAAACGACGAGTCGACGGAAGTTGGCAGGTATCGGTTCTGGGCGGTCCGGTTTGCCCCGCTGACTCGGATTTCACTCGGTTTTCCAGCTTAGCCTGACTATAATTTATCGTTAGCTGGCTTGAATGGAGTTTCAGCTACTTCCGGGGAACGATCCTCAGCTGCGAGAACAATCGAGCGGTCGCGGCCAGAGCGTCGGGGCCTGCACCGCGTTTCTTCCGCGTCCTCGCTTTCCGACGAGAAGTCGAGCATTATCCTCCATAGCCTATAAAAAGAAGCAAGGAACGTTTCCCTTGCACCACGAGCTTCGAGTACGCTCATCCATCCATTAATAATATTAATAATCGTTACTCCGCCATTTTGGAAATATCCGATTAAGACCGCGCACGTCGTTGGGTGTCCTCTCGACGACCTGACCTAGGTCAATTCGATATCTAAAATTCAATACCGGTGAGTCGATAACTTTCGCTTACCAATAATCATCGATATCCCCAAATCCCGGATTTTGACACTAAATATCATATCCACCGAGAAGAAAAAAATGTGATCGAATCACGGAAGTATTTCATTGAATACTACCGAACGAATATTTTGTTAATTCAAGGAAGAATTATTTGAGACGAATCCTTAAGTTCCTTAAATTATCAAAATATTTTTTTTAACAACATTCGAAGAAATATTTTTTTGCTTCAGCCTTAACCTAACCCCCCTTTGGTCCTCGCCGGTACCTACCGCTGCCCCTCTACCGAAAACCGCGAGGTTTATGGTCAGATGGCCCCGCGACGTAGGCGAGGGAAGGCGCGCTTCCGGTTTCGGGATTTCGGCCCTGGGTGGTGTCGGGCCTGCGAAGAAGGCTCTGGGGGCGGGTGGGCGGTCGGGGCTGCGCGGGAGAAGCGTAAGTTCGCGGCGGGGGGTTGGCAGCCGTGAAGCAGCAGTGCGACGCGACGCTGCCTGCCACGCGGTTGCCGAGAAATCTTTCCTCGCCGTCGCTGGCTCTCTATCGGCCGTTAGCGTCGGAGCGACGACCAGTGCGCGATAAGGACCGCGGAGGCCGCCCCTCTCGCGCCTCCGAAATCCGCCCCTCGCCCCCTCGGTTCGGTCGATCGGCCCGCGATCGCGGTTCCCATCGCTCCGCGAAACCTCGTCGCGACGTCTTGCGGGTTCCGTTTTGGTTCCGTGCCGCGGTTGTCCGATCGTAAAGCCTTTTTGTCCCGGAGGGACGATCGCCTGGATCGCCGCGGTCCGCGCGTATTTTGTGCTCGTATATCGATCTCACCTCCCGCATAAAATTCCTGGAAAACGATCCGACGCTGTTCGACCTCCTTGTTAAGTGGAAAGTGAAGTGGAGACGGAGTGTTAGGGGTTCCTTTCGGTCGCTTATCTGTGTCTCTCGGTTAGCCGCGAGTGGAACGCCTGAAAACGCACTGGGATCTGCAGGGGACTGCGGGTGAGTCGCAGGGGGAAATCATGGGTTTCGATCTTCGAGATCGTGAGGAAATCCGCTAGAAATATCCCAAGCAGGGGTGACCGGAAATTGTTGGACATCATCGAAACGCCGTCGGGATTTTAAGACCGAACGGAACTCGTTACCGAATCGCATTGTCTGTCGTAGGAAATCGAAGGCAATTGGCCCTCGGTGAAGAAAATCGTTTCCGTGATTTGGAAGGGAATAGTCCCTTGGTTGTTATTTTGGATTTCGGTTATGATCCCCCAGTTGAGTTTAGGGTTTAGTCGACCGCCTTTGATCCCGGCGCGCTTCGTTTTCCCCTGATTTATTGACCTTGTATTACACCCTTGGTCGCTTTAATATTCATGAAATTCCTTGCTCGGAGAGGAAGCGGGGCCTTCCTTGGCGTTTCGCGAGCCACTTTCTGACGGAACACTGTGATGCCTTGCGGGGGTACAATAGGAACCCCAAAAGGGGTTCCTATCCTTCAACCCCAAAAGGAGCACCCATCCCTGAACCCGACGTTGCTTAACCTCGCAGATTGCTGTCGGGTTCTAGGGGAAAATGTTCCTCAGCGGAGCTCTGGTTACCTTTCACGGTTCAGTCGCTCGAGGAGGGAAAAGGACCTCTTCGGGGTTCCTTGGTCCCTCGCGTTCCCCACGGTACCATCTTCGTTTCCGTCTTGAGGTCAAAACGAGACTCGCCGTAAAGTGTCTGCCTGAATCATATACAACTGCAAGGAACAATTATTTCTGGAGGAAAAAAAATCATAACCTTGATTTAAACGAATTTTGTTTACGCTTCCTGACATTCCTTTTGATGTATTTCATCGCAGGATTTTATTATAGCAATGGATATTTCTTTGAGTCAACCTAGGTTTTTTTTTTCCTCAGGGTGGGTCGATCGATTGATTGCGGAGTCTCGTTATCCAGGTGGGAGATCGGGAATCGATCGTTGATAGATGATGTCTTGATGAGAGGACTTGGGGGATCCGTAAAATCCACGAGATCCAACGTTTCCTGGCCGAGTCCAGGGTGGAGGGCGTTAGGTGGACACGTGGAGAATTTTCAAGATGAAATTTCCAGCGTTCGCCCGAAATTCCGGGACACCCTAGATCGGACATTGCTGTGGTTTTCCTAACCGCGGGATCCCTCGTCACAATCGGGAATACATCGTCGTACCGGAAGTCGATCCTTCGTATGACGTAAAATTCTATGCTTGTACCCGAACTCGGGTACAAGCATAGAATTTTATTTCTTGCACCCTGTGAGACGGCGTTCATGGGGTGGATTCCCATACCGTGCCCCTGAGCGATGAGGACGAACACGGGTAACGAGACGGTAGGAACAACGTGCTTCGCGAAGTTGAACGTCGTTCCAGGTCGTGCTTCGGAATCGACGACGTATGCCGAGGGCGATGTGTTGCCATTTTATCGCCGGGTATACAGCTACGATAAAACAACATCCGGGGGGGCCTTGAAGAGCGTGCCTCGGTGCAATCTATATGCCTGACGGCGCGACTCGTGTATTTTACGAAGACGAAAAATAAATAGGAGGTTAGTGCCCATCGCCTCGATTTAACCGTGGACAACGGAAAGCGTAGGCTGCACTTCTGACCGATGAAATGCAGTACCCTCTCCTCGGTTAAAAGAGAGGAAAAAATTGAAAATCGCCATTTCGACGCCCACGTCGTGGGAATTCTTGAAATCAAATTGCCGCACTTTGCCGTGCATCCCTACGACGTTTTTCTTAGCGATAGGATTAATGATTCGAGGTGTCGCAAAAGGGTCACTCTGCATATAGAATGTAACACCTTAACGTCGGGAAATTTTTCCTACGGACTGAAATTTATTGAATCGCGCTCACCATGCATCAGATGCACCCCAAGCTGTCGCTATCGGGACAAGTGCACCGCTGAAACACGGAGGCTGCATCTCCCTGGATGGTGCAGGCTTTCGAGATATCGCCAAATGTGTGACCGAGATCGCACGGGTATCTATCTCTATCGCACCATCGCGGGACAAATGGCATTGAGATTCCCGACAACCCGGTGTATGCATTACGATCGTGCCTCTTGTCTTACGTAGGTGGGACAATGTGCCTGGATTCATTGTCCATGGTTCACTTCATGGATAGGACAGCCATCGATCTCCGTCGATGTCGTCTGCTCTGAGTTTATCACCTGCGAATGTTGGCCGACGAGTGGATACGAGAATAATGTCATCTGTTTCTTTTTTTTTTTTTCACTTTTCGGTATCGACCTAGCTCGAGTCTTATCGAACAATTGCAAAATCGAGAGTGGCCGACTCCTTGTCCTGCCTGGGAGAAAAATCGCATTATTCCGCGGCCGAAGATGCGCGGAAAAGTTGGCCACCGCGGCGGAGCTCGTCCGGAATTAGTTGGGAAAGAAGTCGACGAAAGGCTCGAGTCGCTTTTCCTATAAGGGCGAATTAAATTGATCGGGAAGGAGGGGGATATATCTTGCAGCCGCGGGGCGAGCGGCTCCAACGATATTTGCATATTTCTCGTATCCGAGTTGTAAAATTGACCAACTTCCGAAGGCCCGAACAATCGGGAGAATTCAGACGTCGCGACCGGTGCTTAACTGGGACGGAAAGTAAATTTCGGAGTTGAGAGCGACTCGGAGTGCTCGGTAATTAAATGCAAAATCCCGATGGGGTGTTGCTTGCCCTGTAAAAATGGCCGACAAAAATGAGAGAGAAAAAAAAAGAAATTACACATCGCCGTCCAATTAACGGCACGGCGCGCGGAAATTTTGCGCCATGCCGCTCTTCGGCAAACGTGATTTATGGTCTTCTGCATTTCGGCATTATTCGCCTCTCTCTCTCGTTGTTGCACTTTGTTCCGCCACCTCGTCGACCTGGTTCTCTCCATCGGCTTCGAACTCGGATTAGGTTGAATTATTTCTCCGGCGAAGAGGCACCCTCGAGGGCATCCGCAGAGTCGACCGCGGATGGACCTCTCTTGATCCGCAGGTTCGTGTCTTGCGGATGACATCGTCATCGGACGTTTCCGAGCGACGTGGTCGAGAGGATCCGTCCCCTAGGTGCGATATGACGATCGATTCAGCCCCGCTAATTATCCTGGCGAGATTTATATGACGATCGTCCAGTCGTTCAAGGTGATATGAATAATCCGTGGTATCCTAAATTGTTCCAGCTAGGTCCTGAAATTCTTCATTTCCGATTCCAAGGGTCCATAAAGCGTCAAACATGGAAAACGTACACGGTCGACGCCATATTGGTCCTAATCCATGATGAATAAAATATGATTTTATGTAAAAAATTAAATTTCACGAGTTTCAGGACTTATCAGTTAATACTAAAATGTCAAACGAATCGGTACACCCAATTTAGAAACCGCTTTCATGACGTTTTGACCCATCAGATGTGTATAGGTTGACTCTACGGGTGCGAGAGGGTGCGTAACACTGTAAAAGGATGACGTTTGTTTCTACGCGATTATCTCCATTGGCCATTTTTCCCGATCGCATATACACTTTTTCCCGACAAAAGGGACGCCGTTACGTTTACACGGTTACATTGTAGGTCGGTTGGACCGTCACTTGCGACAATGCGATTTTTTCCCCGAAATAAACTCGGCCCGTTCAATATTTGAGCGCGCGCAAATCCCGGAGTCCACTCGGTGTGCAATTTTCAAACCTGCTCGCTCGCGGTTTAAAGGTCGATTTATTCATATCTATTCCATATCGGTACACAGGCCGTATCGCACTTTCCTACGCAGGGGGGTAAAAAATTGCCGGATAGGTTTCAATGGGGAGGATTTACATCGCGATGTATCCTGCCAGGGAGAGCTCGAGAGATCCTTTCAATGGAATCCATCGGCGAGATCTTTCTCTACTTTTGCAAGGGCGAGCACGGATGTATGTAAATCGACCTTAATACCGTCCAGGAATATCGCGGCTGCGGTGAATAAAAAGGAGAGGGTCGCCAGAGGTGCGTGCGACCTGTGATCGAAGATGTCGACGTCGGGACGTCGATGGGATCCTTGGGGAAAAATGGTTATCCCTAAAAAAAATCCTATATCTTCCCCAAATTTGTCCCAGTTGACTGTTACCATGCTCGGGGAAAGTTGGACCTGGAGCAGGAATGGGTAATTTCGGGTTTTTCCAGGTTTTCCACGTACATTACGTAAACCGTGCAGTGTACTGCAGAAACTCGAAGAAAACCAGTAAATTACGTTTTTCATCCCCTAGATTAAAAACGTCTTTTAACACATGTGTAAACACGTAAACATTTTTAAAGACTAATTAATTTCACGCTCGTGTCAGAAATACTTTCGAGATTAACCTTGCTTGGTATTAAATTTCTGATTGGATTTATTTTCTATTCAGACATGGAATGTGATTACATGTTGCATGACGTATTCTACCACCATACCATATCCTGGAGGCGAAAACGATTAATCGGTCATTATTTCTCCCGATCCATCAGGAAAGTTTCCGATAGGTTTGCCGTATTGCCGCGTCTTCGTGGTCGTGCAGCAGGCTATAATATGAGTTATGTACGCAGATAAGCCTTGGATTTACTGCCGGTATCGATGCGCTTTCAATTCGAGACCAATGGATTCCGGTATCGATGCTCGGTACCGAAAGCGCGGCGATAAAGATTGCGCGGGTCAGGTTAGGCCGGAAGGTGCCAACCCGTGGACGGGGCTCTTCTTCAAGGTTCCTGACTCGGTTTTGCACGCGACCTGCGAGTTTAGCGATTCGTCACGGCCGATTACTTGAAAATATGAAGGCGCCGAAATGGATCGCGAACTTGTCCATTTGCGTTTACGAGCCGCGCGGTATCGCTCCCTCTTATCACCTCGGTACAAGGACCAGCGAACTCCGTTTGGAATTACCGAAACACCATAATAGTATTAAGGCCGAATATCACTTTTTACCGAATCGCAATGTTCGTCATATGAAACCAAATCGAATATTTTGGCTCTTTGATATACATATACGACACTTTC